ACAATCATCGATAAACAAATAAATATTAATAGACATACTTTGAATATCATGAAAATGCTGTCAAAACATATCTGTATTTTGTTCACTACAAATTGTATCTTTTTTTTTATTCGCCTATACAAAGTTTGAAGAAATAAGCCACCGAGAAAGAAATTCGATTATCTGTACTGGGTTTCAAGAAATGCAGCTATTTTCGTGATAGTAGAATATGGATTTAATTTTTTAGACACAAAGATGAAAGTCATGAATGATGGTGATAGTAATTATTGCCGAGTTGCATTTCTGGTGGGAAAACGGTCTAATACAGGGAAAAATAAGCAACATATTATCTTCGGTATCTGAATTTTTGGATATTTTTCCAAGTTTCTGATTGAAAATGTTTGAAATCTTCAATTCCTGCTTTAGAAGCATTTGTTTAAATGTCTGCACGTAAAAAGAACGGTTACAGCGTAAAGTTCCATAAGTATGAAGATAATGACATTGTTTACGTTTTGCGATTCATCATTTAACAACGTTTCCATTGTGCTAGAAAGAAGTGGCATTGCATAGATCTATTGTTGATTAGTTTTTTCTGGAAAAATCTTAAAAACAGGATTTCTGTGAGAGGCTGGAGATATTTGGATACATCGTAGTGGACGATTGTAGAAACAGCTGAACTAAGTAAATGAAGTAAAACCTTAATATTTGTCTTGTATGTTGAGAATAGTCTTGAATTAGATATTGAAGTTAATAAGAATTGCTCGTAATATCGTTCGAAAAGCTCAGATTTGTGAATAGAGACTTGGAGTATTTCTCTAGCATCAGACAAGAAAGCGATTCGATTGGCTAATATACATTAGAGTCAAATGAGTTTCGTTTTGAGGATCGCATCTTATGTTATTTTCAGTCGGTCAACTTTGAATACTCGATAATTCATCGTGAAGAAAAATCCCCGGTATTTTTATGAGTGTGGAGAAGAAATCGATCCAGAATCGTAAATCTTCCTAGTTGAAGTAGGTTAACCAATAATCATCGAGGATCTGATGTTGGCTCTTGTTTGACTTATTCATAGAGAGTGTTCGGTGTCAGTGATAAAAGCTTGAGTAAACACAATTCTGCTCATTTTAACTGCGAGTTTGTGACGAATTCAAATGCTTTTGAATACCTCTAGGTCAGAATATTTACCGGCCAAATAATGCTTATTTTTCAAGAAGTTCGAGAATCTTCTTGATAGGTTTTTTAGGAGCCGATCGTATAGTAGCTCAGATCAAGATGAAGGGTTCAAGGATGCGTTTCGAACGCATTGTTTATAACGTTCTATTTAGGTTCCTCATGACGTTTTAGATAATCTCGAATGTTGAATGTGATAGTTTATATACTGGCACCCCAGCTGCTTCTACAAAGACCGCATTTATTTTCGTATATAGAGATTTTATACAATTTCTGAAATAATGTCCACGAAAAAGTTATATAAGAAGTTAACTAAAGAAGAACGAAATAACAAGACATGAGATTTCACAAATAAAAAGTTATTTCATCAAGATACATTTCACATAATGAATCAAGAAACAAAACGATCAAGAGAAAGTTCAAGTAATAAGAAATTACTTTTTCGGATATTAATGTTATTTCATACTATGATTCATTGTTGATAATGTCACTGGTTCTTCATTTTTATTACTAGTCATGTGTAGTATTTTCATTATTTGTAGTTGGATTAGTTTTTGTAGAAATTGATCTTAAAAAAAATACAAATCTATTTTATTAAACGTCACTTGAGTTACAACTTACGATGATTTATTTTCTCTAAATGAATGTCCTCATCTTTGATTACCACGAACAATTTTACTTGATTATTCCAAAATCCTTCTAGCTTATCATTGTCGTTGTAAAAAAAAACCAGCTATTATCGCTTCTGAAATAGATATCTAACTACTATACTAATGATTCTATAATACAGGCTAGTTACCTTTTATTTTCATTATTCGTTCATTGTCTTGTTCATGTTGTCGATTAATTATCTTTTCGTTGGTGAATAGTTGATTAATGAACATTTTCATAAGACCAGCAGAATTTTCAATTACAATTACAGATTATAGATTTCGTCCTTTGTAATTCTAAAAGAAGAAGTGAAAAAAGAGGAAAACAATAAAAACTTACCACAACTGGAAGATTAATAGGTGTTTTCACTTGCTGTTCAATTCTAGAACAAAACGGCATATATTATCAATTAACTGTGGCTCTATTGTTTAAAAATGCCGTAGGTGATATCTGTTATATACATATAATTTTCAAACCTTAGACTTTTTCAACACATCATCGATATCAATGATCAAGTGTAACTTCTTTATTTCTCGACTATATAATGCTAGTTTTACACTTGATCAAAATTCCATCTTACTATTCATTGTCTGGACCAAATTTTTGATTAGTAATCTTAATGAAAGAAAGCGCTATTACCTTATGGAAACGCCGAGAACAAGTTTGAAGTTACTTATCAACATTTTCAAATTTTTGTTTCAAATGCACTAGTTTGTTTTGTTAAAGCATCAATTTTTTTATTAAGATCTTTAAATATATTTTCAATGGTTTTAAGATTTACCATCAATAAATCTTGTGGTACATCATCCATTTGTTCTTGTAAAAGTTTTCTTTTGCGCTGAAGCGTATATAATAACCATGTAAACCGAAAAATAAGTTTTGTGGCGTTTGTATATTTGTTTAGCACTATTTCTGTTATGAAATTGTTAGGGTCGAATTATCGGTCAGTTTATTTTGGATGAATATTCAAGAATGAATCAGGTGGAAGAAAATGAAAGAACGAATATATGTGTATAATAAAGAAAGAAAACAAAGTAAGAAAGAAAACTGAAGAGAAAGAGAATGTATGATTGTGTATGTAATACACAGATCATAGCACTCCCCCCTGTTAGCGAAAAAAAAAAATTTTTTTTTTGTTTAAGAAAAGGAACATAGAGTGATAAGAAATAGAAATAGAAAAGGTGATAGAAAACAATAACAAATATAACTAGACAATGATTAATATGAAGGAAATAAATAAATAAATAATGGATCAGATTGTGTGAAATGCTTTACTTGTTAGATAACTTCCACAAAATTAATCTGAGATCAAAATATAGTTAAAAAGGCGAAAATTCCATAAATGTAATAAGTAAAGGATAGAAGAAGTTAGTATGATTGAAATATAAATATACATTATGATAATAAGCAGTATAATCAGTAAATGAAGTTTAGATAAATAATACGGACAAAATTAATGTTAGATTAAATCATATAATAATATCATCATTAACAATAATATACTTGTCAATTAAAATTGGTTAAATACATGTTTTTTTTTTGGTGAAGTATTTGTTGTTTATGAATAACATTATTGTTTAATTATTCATTAATGGACGTAAATCATTTACATGAATTTGTGATATTGATTTATTATTAATATCTTCGACCCAGTATATTGGATGTTCTTTTTTAATAATAACTTTCGGGCTAATTGAAAATTTCGGGTCTAATTTTGATCTATTAGTAAATATTCGAGTTAACACATTTGTTCCTATATTATATTCAGGATTTTTACGATGACGATTATAACGAACTTTTGATTGTTGTTGTTGTCTTAAAATATTTGTTTTACTGTACCACGAAACTATTCTAAATTCCGGACCAGTTGTTCAAAATAATCATTTGGATGATGAAATGTAAATGATGTTGGTGGATTGTCAATTGGAAGATTTGGTTTTCGTCCAAATGTAAGTTTAAATGGGGTCATGTTTGTTGTTGAATGAACACCAGTGTTATAAGCAAATATAATTGAACATAAATATTCTTCCCAATTGTTTAATTCATCATCAGTTAGCTTGGCAAGTTGAGTAACAAATGTTGCATTAAACCTTTCAACTTGGCCATTACTTTGAGGATGATAAGGTGTGCAAAATATGTGATGATAACCAATTAATTTTGATATTGATTGCATTAATTGGTTTTTGAAACTGGTACCTTGATCAGTAATAATTGCTTTTGGTACACCATAATGACATATAAATTCTTTAAAAATAGCATTTGCAGTAACAGATGCAGAACATGTAGGTAATGCTACTGCAGTAACAAATTTTGTATAATAATCAGTAAGACATAAAACATATCGATTATCTTGTGGTGTTGTTGGAAATGGTCCACAAAAATCTGTTCCGATTAACTGATTAGGTCCATCAGGAGGTGTAATTGGTTGAAGAAAACCTGGATTTTTTTGTCGACCAATATTATATGCTTGACAAACAACACATGATTTTATATAATTAATGATGGACGTTTTCATATCTGGCCACCAATATTGTTGTCTAATTTTATCTAATGTTCTTCAAACGCCAAAATGACCACCAATTAACGGATTATCATGATAAGAAACTAATAATTTATTTATCATAGAATTTGGAACATAAATTAATTTTCGTTTATTTTTCCACGTAAATGAGATAATAATTTATACAATATATCATTTTGATATTCAAATGACATATTTGGACGTTGTTTTAAATCATTAATAATTTTTTGAATTTGAGGATCATTTTGTTGGTGCTCTTTTAATTTAGTAATATCAAAATAATCATCAGCATTATGTAAATCATTAGAATCATGAGAAGATGATGATGAAGAATTTAAAGAATTTTGTTGTTGTGATGATGATGAAGTTGAATCAATATTATGAGATAAAAGTTTAGCTTTTGATCGAGTAACAACTACACCAAGTAATTGAATAGAAGATGATTTATCTTTTGTAAATCCTAAACCATAATCATCAGGTAATTCATCATCAGATGCAATAGGATGTCGTGAAAGATAATCAGGTAAACAGTTGTATTTTCCTTTAACATGTATAATTTGTTGAATATTAAATTCTTGAAGTAATAATGATATTTTTTCAACACGTTTATTTGATATTTTTTTATTCATCATATGACAAAGAGGACAATTGTCAGTATAAATAATAATATTACGACCAAGTAAAAAAGACCTCATTCTTGTAATACATTTAAATATAGCTAATGCTTCGAGTTCCATTGGATTATAACGTGTTTGTGAAGGAGATAGTAATTCAGAATGATAGTAAAGAACTTTTCTAACATTATTAATTTCTTGATAAAGAATACCACCTAAACCAATTTTTGAAGCATCAGTTGATAATAAAACTGATTGTGTATCATCAGGAAAATTTAAAAATAATGGAGTTGATGTTAACAATTGTTTTAATTCATTAAAAGATTTTGATTGTTCATAAACCCATTTAAATTTATGTCGATTATGTTTCGTAAGATTAGTGACTGCATGTATAGAAGCTGCTATTGATGAAAAATTTGGAATAAATTTCCGATACCAGGAAAGAGCTCCAATAAAACGATTAGCTTGAGCTAAAGTTCGAGGTTCTGGTAATGATATAATTGATTTAATTTTTTCTGGTGTTGGACTAATTGTTGTTGGTGTAATTACATGTCCTAAATATTCAATTTGTTGTTTAGCTATTTCACATTTTGTTGGGTTTAATATTAAATTATGTGATTTTAAAGTATTTAATACTTGTTCTATATGATTTAAATGTTGATTAAAATCCTTCGAGAATATTATTATATCATCAAGATATCCCAAAAAAAATTCAGAATAAGCACCTAATACATTGTTCATTATCCGTTGGAAGCTTGGAGGCGAATTTCGAAGACCTTGAGGAAGTACCAACCATTCGAATAATCCGAATGAAGTTATAAAAGCTGTTTTAAAACGATCTTTTTCATTAATTGGCAATTGCCAAAAACCAGATTTAAGATCAAACTTACTAAAGTAATGATAACCAGCACCTAATGTTTGAAGAGTTGCCTCCATGTTAGGAAGAGGATAATTATCTTTAATGGTGATGGCATTCAGCTTCTTATAATCAATAACTAATCTCCAAGTTTGGTCTTTCTTTTTTACTAACAATGCTGGTGCTGCATATGGTGATTGAGATTCTCGAATAAGACCAGCTTCTAATAATTTATTAATAATTGATTTTAATTCAGCAATTATTGTTGGATTACCAGGGTAACATTTTGAAACAGGTGGAGTATGAGGATATGTCTCGATTACGTGAGATAATTTTGTTTGTGCAACTGAATATTTACTTGTATCAAATGTAGATTGAAATTTAAATAATAATGACTGAATTAAATCACGTTGTGTTTGATCAGCGATGTGAAATAATAAGTTTGAAATTGTTTGTTGAGTTGTAGGAAGTGGTGGTGGAGTAGTAATTTTATTTATTTGTTGAGATGCTGAATTAAATGTATTAGGTGTAATTGAATTTTTATTATCTGTAATATTATAAGAATCAGAATTATTATATGTTGCGATTCCAATAACTGTTCCTTTAGGTAAATAACGTGGTGAATTTGATGAATTACTAACAGTTAATAATGTTGAATAATTTCTTATATTTAATATTAAATGTGGTACGTAAATGGAAGTTTTTTGAATAAAATTAGATGATGGACGAAATGGTAAAGTTGCTGTTGAACTATTAACAGTAACAGGAATTTGTTGTTTAGATTTAGATAATATCTTTATAGAACGTGATAATTTAACAGGAAAATCAATAGGTATTGTTTCAGTATAAATTGGTATAACAATCTGTTGATCATTAAAATTAAATTAAATTGATTTTTTTTTGGTTGAATATTTAAATCATATTTTGTAAGATAATCCATACCAAGTATAAGATTAGTACACAAATTTTTTGTAGCAAATGCTGGTATAGATGTTATAACATCACCAATAGTAATATTCAAATAAATAATTCCTGTCACTATAAAATAAGTTAATCCATCAGCCATAAAAAATTTTTGATGTCCAATAGCAGAATATTTAAATTGATTAAAAATTTTTAAAAATTTTTCATTAATAAACGAATATTGTGCGCCGGTATCGATTAGAATTTTCATTTGTTTATTGTTGACATAAGTGGTAATATAAATAAGAGAAAGTGTAGATGGATGTTGAGATGAATTGGCGAAGTCAATACCATCATTCATTGACTTCGCTTTCCGAAACGGTGACAATGACGAGCTATATGATCTAAAGCACCACAAATTGAACAACGTTGAAATGGTTGTGGTTGTTTAGGATTATTATTTCGATATGTTTTATTGTTAAAGGATGATGAAGAAAGATTTGATGATGGTTTACCATTAAATGATTGACGAAGTGAATTTGAAGATTGATTTCTATCATACGAATTAGAAGAAGATGGTTTAAAAATCCGGTTTAAATAATGATGTTGATTATTATTATTATTATCAGGTGAATAATTGTTATCGTATGAATAATTATTATCGTACGAATAGCTATTATTATAATAATCATTGTTAACCATAGAATTTGTATTATAATCATTAAATTCATTTGTTGATGTATAATTAGTTGAATTAGAATAAGATGATGAAATAGATGGATGTGAATCATCATGAATCATAGATTGATTAATAAAAGTAGTATTTAATGATGTAAGATCTTCAGCAATTTTAGCTTGAGATAAAAATTCTTGTGTTGTTTTAGGGTAATTTCTCCGTGTTTCAATTGATAACGATGGATGAAGACCATTCATTAAATAATGTACCTTTGTATTTTCATTCATATCTGGATCAGCTTGCTGTATCAATTTAAGCATTTCATTATAATATTAGAAAACTGATTGATGAGGTGTTTGATGATATTGTTGAAGTTTTTTAAATGCTATATCTCGTTGCAGATTAGAATGATAGGATTTTTTTATTTCTGTTACAAATTGTGACCAAGAAGTAAAATATTTTTTATTTTGTCGATAGCATTGTTGAGCATCACCTTTTAAACAGATTTGAATTAAATTTAATTTGTCTGATTCACATAATTGCATATTATGAAATTGTTGTTCAATTTCATCTAACCAATTAATAACACTATCTTTTCCCCCATAGAATTTTATAGGATCTTTTACAAATTTATCAATTAATGCTTTTGATATTGTTGATGATATGGAATGAGATAAAGTTGAATTATTTGAATCAGTTGATGAAATGTGATGATGAGTAAGTGGGATTGTGATATTACCTGAATGATCAGTAGGTTTATCAATAAAATCTTTATTGTTAATAACTTGTGAATTAATTAAAGAATGTCTATTTGAACATTGTGAAGAAATATGAGAATCAGGTATTTGTTTAGTATTAATATATTCAAGGGTAAATAATTGACAAAAATCTGTATAACAATTTATTTTGTGTTTGTTCAAACTATACCAAATCATTGATCGACCAACGAAAAAATATGGAAGAATTTTAAGACATTCATCAAATGATAATTTCAAATTAGAAAATGTTGAATCAAGTTGAATAAACCATTGATATGCATTTTCATGCCCAGAAAATGGTGATATATGATCACGAAAAAAATCAAGTAAAGATGGTTTTTCATCTAAAGCATTTGAATGATTATCATTTAAATCAGGTAATTGTTCTTCATTAAATTCAGATGTTTGTTCATTTGTTTGAAATTGTTGATTTTGTTGTTGATTTGAATGAAGTGAATCATCTTTTTCTATTCGTTCTTCTACAGCTGATAAAGTTTTTGATTCGAGTTGTTTTTGTAAAATTGCATTATCAGTGAATAAATTTTTAATTTGTTCATTTGTAATTTGTGTTTGGATATCAGAAGAATCTCTATTAGGATTATCTTTTGAACTCATTGAAAAGGATGATATGTTAGGTGAAAGAGATGATTTTGTCGTAGCTGTTTATCGTTGTTTATGGGGTAATTCAAGATTTTTAATTGATATATTTGTTAGTGAAACTTTGGAACGAGTGTTCATAAATTTTTGTTAATCATAATATAATAAAGTGAAGATGCAAGTTAATAAAAGCCAAGGGTCGCCAATTGTTTGGGTTGAATTATCGGTCAGTTTATTTTGGATGAATATTCAAGAATGAATCAGGTGGAAGAAAATGAAAGAACGAATACATGTGTATAATAAAGAAAGAAAACAAAGTAAGAAAGAAAACACAAGAGAAAGAGAATGTATGATTGTGTATGTAATGCACAGATCATAACAGAAATAGTCGTCGAACAGAATATTCATATTGCTGTTGACTACGAAATGGTACTTCTCGAATAATTCGATAACCCGAAAACGAGAAGCATTGAACTTACGGATATGTCGTATTGAAAAATTAAGTTTACTGTTATCAATTTCATTTTCATCAGCTGAAGGGTCATCCATATCTTCCATAAACGGCACTTGAGCATTTGAAGCACCAATTGGTAATTTTCGAGTTCGACCGTGTGTAACAGAACCAGTGTGATGAGCCGTCTTTGTAATATAAACAGTTTAATGTTAAAGTAAAACAGAACGACGAGAAATGCAGAATGTTGCAATACAAAAATTATTATAAAACATGTAAAATACTCTTATTATAGTTATCTAATCGTTCAATTTCTTCACTCATGTTTTGTTTCAAATTCAATTGGTGTACATGCAATGAATTGATTATTTAATGGAAAAAAGACATCTTGATATAATATACGAACATCGAAGAATGACAAAACGAGATCCAAAACGACGTACGATTGAATAGTACCTGTTCATGTACATGGACCATTTTGGAATTCCAAAATTCTTCGAAGAAAAAATAGCTCATTTTCTACAAAAAAGAAAAATGATAATTAATCATCATGTAAACTAGAATTTTTATTTTCAGTATCAATGCTCACACACATTGTAGCTGTTACAGTTTTTACACCGCTTGTACTTCAATGAACGATAAAGGAATAATCCACGTCAATATCTACAATAATATTTCAATGATACGTTAGGAAGTATGCCAAACATTTGATTGTAAAGAAAATCAAATTGTTGTTGATAATTTTGCATTACGTTGAAATCGAAAAATGTATCATCAATAAGATGTTCATTAGAAAATAATATTGAATTTGACTAAACATCGACCAACAAAATCATGTTTGTTCTCCTAGAGCAATAGAACCATGAGCTAGTTTTGCAAAATATTAAAAGCAACTTTTCGAAGCAAATAAACTGGAAAAAGAAAGATATAAAACTACTTACACGAAAAAATTCTCTCAAAACTCGTGATGTTTACCTGTGATAGACCAAGCCAATATGAAGCAACACTTGTTCCCATAGGAGATACAATGCATGAATTGAATATAGTTCCTTACATTTATCATATAGAGAAGGAAATAGATACAGATATGTCTGTATAAATACAGGCATTGGTAAGATTTCATTAGGGTCATCAAAGGCATGACAAGACGTAATCGTACCAGCATCGGCATCGTAACGTATATAATAAATGTTCGTAATTATGAAGCTTATTATTTTGCATATCGAACTAGATCTCTTGGATAACGATAAAATGAATGTGGATATTTCATTTCATTAAGATAATTGTCGGTAAATGTTAATGCATTTGGATCAAATTTAAGAATATCATACCAAACACTTAATAAAGATCTGTAACACAAAAATGATCAACTATTGAATACTAACATCAAAATGCTTAAACAAAATCATGCCGTAATTATTCAAATTTTAATTGAATTGATTCCGCCAAAAAAGAATCTTTTTTGTATAACATAAAGATAAAATGATAATCTTCATTCGAATATAGTATTCCAAAACATATCAAAGCTACTACCATTGTGTTCTTTTATACCATAAATAAACTATGCATTTTACTCAGATGTAAAATGCTAAAAATATTCAAGCACACAGTCTATGTAAATGGTTTCTTTTTATTGTAGAGAAAACAAAGTCATAAAAACGTTTTTTAATTGCTTACCGAAGATGAATTTCTAACAATAAGTGAAAATAGTCAACCGTGGATTGCTTTGGCACAAATAATAATGAAAACACTGGAGAAATACGTCGAATACCAAAACAAGATTCCTTTGAAAATTTAATACGCTTAACGCAATCATCAACGTTTTTGTGTGGGATGTTGTGATGGTGATCGACTAAAATCAGACCAGCGATAAGTGTGTGTTTTTCACATGGTGCTGAGAGCTAGTAAATCACGACACATTGATTGAACATTTGAAGAAAAATGCTTCATTCCTAAAGTAAATAACGAACTAGCTAAACCACATAAAATTAATAAAAAATAAGGTTTAAAAATACATATATATGCATATATATCAGTGAAATAGATCACACACTGTTCTACATTTGATGAAACTTTGTTAATGTTAAAATAATTGATTAAATGACTCGATTAATGCTCGGTTACTAAATAAAAATTAACATACTATCATCAACTTGTATATTTATTCCTGTAGCTTTTATTAATTTAATATTTTCCATGATTTTTTGTAGTAAGGACCAAGCAGGTGGTGATACTGGCAAATCCCATAATCCGGGTAACATAGTGTATTAACATGTTCACGAACTGGTGGAGGAATTTCGACAAGAAAAGCCATAATCTAAAAAATAAAACAAGGATACTAATCAATTTGAATAAAGATACTTACAGATCAAACATTACTTCGAGTTTGTTTCAATTTAATTATTGGTTTTCCATCTGTGCTGAGCATTAACATTAAATAAGACCTATACGAATTCTGTTATTGCTTATAGATATAACCTTCCAAAGAAACAAGCTGTAGTATTGTTCTTTTCATAATCTATGCTTTACTATCCACGATGCCCGCATGAATCTGATGTTCGTATCGTTGTTAACATTCTACCAATTTTTTATTTAACCGAATAATTCTTTTAAGCTCATTTACTAATGAAAAATACAAATTTCTGAGTTGTTTTTGTGACTGCTTTTGTATAGAATACATTTATCTTGATATTTCATCAACGGTGAAAAGCAAGTCATGCAAAAAGCACATATCATAATGGAATGAAATATCAAATTGTCGCCATAATGCATCATTGTTGTTGGAATATCATGAATTATTGGTCTATTTGCTAATCTTAACAATGATAATAATGTTAATATTGATGTCTTCGCTATCTTACATTCACAAATAAAATCTAATATTTTGTACAAAAATTATCCATGATTTGTAGCATGATTTTCAGTTGACACAATATTTATATCTTTGTCGAATTCATCTGAATCTTCATTTTCAAAATCTTTTGCTTCCAATTTTAGAAAAATATCACTATTTAACATACTTCAAAATCCTCATTGTTGTAATAATCACCTAAACAACGTGAAAAAAAAATGCTAAAATCAGACGAGAGAAGTAGATTCATTCAAAATCGAAAATCCTATTACCTTTGTTGTCTAAATCTTCTGGTTCGAAATTAGTATTATTTTGTTCTTAAGTACAATTTCGATCACAATTGGAATCGATAGTACTGTTTACATTTGCTGCAATAATCGTAGAAAACAGTTATATGAATTTTGAAATTATATAAGAAATTTACATGAATTTAAAAAAAACGTTTATTAAGATGGAAAAAAAAACTTTTTTCTAACTATGTTGTCGACATGGTAGGTTTTGCTTTCTTCTTAAATCTCGATCTATATAAAATCAGTTACAATAAACAATGGTAAAACATAATTTTAAAATGTAAATTACCATGTGTCTGAAATTGATTAATACGTAAATCATTAACATTGGGTTTATGTGTATTAATTGGCTTATTTATTATACCATCTGAAAAATAATTTCATATCTAAAAAAACAACTTGTATTAATTATCAACTGATCTGCAACGATAAAATAAAAAGTATACTGAATGTAAAATAACTTTTGATGAAAAGATATGTCATAATTTCTTTTCTTCATAATATGTAGTTACAGGCTAAAAAAGTTCTAGTTGTATACGTGGAAGGCTTCCATTTTGAATTCGTTATCTACTTGTTGCCTCTATAGAAGAGACAAGGACACTTATAAATGCGTAAGAAACCAGCGACCTCTTTAAAACGCGCTCAGAATGCATTCTTTAGTCGTTCATCTTGATCTGGGTATAATCGAATGAAACAAGAAATCCATTGTCTTGAACAGGCAAAGAAAATATGTTATTTAAAGTGAAATGATTGTAAGGAACGTTCATACTATGGGTTATTTAATTTCAATCTGAATTTAAACAGAAAAAAAAGCACTTGATTTCAAATTGAAATAAGGGACTAAGGGACTAAGGGACTAAAGGGACTAAAGGGACTAAGGGACTAAGGAGCTATGGGGAGGTCAAGAAAAGTGAGCTCCAAACTGCGTAAATTTCAAATTAGGAGCTCACCAAAGAAACCAACTGTGATGCCAGCGGCATCGTCTGAGATGCTAGAGGCATCATCTGGAATGCTAGTAGCATCACCTGTTATGCTAGAGGCATCACCTGGGATTCTAGAGGCATCACCTTGGATGCTAGAGGCATCATCTGGGATCCTAGTAGCATCACCAGGGATCCTAGTAGCATCACCTGCGATGCTAGAGGCGTCACCTGGGATGCTACTAGCAACCTAGTTGTTGCTACTAGCACCCCAGGTGATGCTACTAGCACCCCAGGTGATGCTCACTTTTCTTGACCCTAAGGGAACTAAGGGGCTAAGCGGACTATTCAGTGGGGAAGCGCGTTTCCCCACTTAACACACCTTTTATTTCAGCGTCGCGGCGTGGGGGCGCGAAGCGCCCCCCGAAGAGCCGCGACCCATGCACGTCTCTGTGTACACCATTATTCCTACCCTTAGTTCCCTTAGTCCCTTAGTCCCTTTAGTCCCTTAGTCCCTTTAGTCCCTTTAGTCCCTTAGTCCCTCTGTCTTGGTAAAAATGAGGTGTTATTTTTTTTTTTAAATTCAAATTTAAATAAAAAAACCCATAGACTCGGAACGTTTGTCAAATCAACAGATCAATCTGAAAAAATCTTCTATTTTACTTATAATGTTTCGCATAGAGTAGACAAATTAATTGAATAAGTTATAACACGATTTTTTATTTGATGAACATATAAACATTAATCAGTGAAGAACACAAACAATAAGCCAAAATGATGCTAAAATAAAAGAAAAAAATTTTGAGAAGTGAACAGAAAATATAATAACATCTAATATATAAAGAAGAATGTTTGTTTGTACTTCATGAATTAGAATCCTGCAGAAGTCAGTGCAATCCACCTTTCAGTTGCATAATCTTTCGTCCTGAAGATGGTAAGAGACTACTTTGCGATTCAAAATTTTTACCTCCGAGTTCTTAGTTCCATGTGGAAAGAGTTCATGCGTATTACTGTTTTCTCAATAACTCCAGAACCAAAATAGGTAAAGATTTGAGATTTCCGCCATCAAAGAAAGGAGATTCTTGATTATGAAAGTATATCAAAATCAGATTGTTAGATTTCTGACGAGTGAAGTTTTAGCATACTTTCATAGTGAGTAATACTAATTCGATCCGGGCTTCAACGAAAAACTGAAATAAAAATTAATCAAAGCGTTCATCAAGCGTTCGAAAACACTTAAAGTAAAACGTAATTCACAAAGTTTTAAAAGGTGGAAATTCAAAAAAATGTTGAAAAGAGAAACTGGTTCGAATGTATTTTGCAACGTCCCATATCAATAACTCATAGGAAGCTATATGACAATTGTTTAAGCTTCTACGATAACACCGGCTATTTATGCTAGCGTCCAATAAAAAATTATAGAAAAGACGCATGATAAGTAACGTGGATACAATCCATAATTAGTATTGTTCGATCAAATGGAAATAATACTTAAGGGTATCCAAAAGTAGTGGCAACGATATTTTAGTACCACATATTAAGCTTGATAAAAATTTCTTTTTACACAGGATGATAAAGAAAAAATTGCTCTTTTTTTCTATGCTATTTGATCGTACTTCAGTTGACATCATAACAACAAAGTCCTAGTAAGACTAGTTTGCCAAACATATGTAACGGTTACAGACGTTCATATTTTCTCCAATATGCATTCTTGTCTTGATGTTTTCTTTGTTTTTCTTCTTTTTCTTCTGTTTATACTATTCTGTAGAAAGTGAAAGAAGTAAAGTTAAATCGAATCTTAACACTCTTCATTTTTGTTTTCAATGGACAAAGAAAATTTTCGTTTCTACATTAAAGTTCGTACTGTACGTAATATTGAAGCAAGAACTATTCCCGACGAGCTACCTACTGTTTTTGGTGATGAAGCTCTCTCTTATCGAACAGTTGCAAGATGGGCTCAATGGTGAAGATAAAGAACGATCCGGAAGACCTGTAACTGAGGTGCTCTTGAAAATATTGAAGAAATTCAAAGTATTGTTAGTGATGATCCTCATGTTACAAAAGCAGAATTACAAGAGCGTACTAGTCTAAGTTATGGTATCGCTCAGAGAATATTATCTGATCATCTGGAACTTAGAAAAATTACTGCTCGTTACATACCGAAACAGCTAACGGATTATCGACGGAGTGAACGTGTTCGAATATTCAAAGAAAATCTGTCAAGATTTCAAGAAGGAAGATGGCGTTCATGTGACGTGATAACAGGTGATGAGTCCTGGTTTTTCCATTAGCAAACTGATCGAAAAGCTTCCAATGCTGCTTGGGTGGCAAAACGTGGACAAACTATCGATCACCAATATTACATAGAAAACTGTTTGCAACCGGTTATCCAAGAAATCAAGAAACAAAGACGACTCTCAGGCACTAATGCCATTAAACTTCATCATGATAACGGAAAAGCACATATACATCAAGATGTCCTCAATTATCTTCATTCAAAAGGAGTTACCATAGTACCACAACCATCCAATTCTCCAGATGTGTCTCTCTGTCATTCTTTGGTTATTCGGCCTCATCAAACGAAATCTAACTGATCAAACTAATTCCGGATCGTTACATCATGCTATAACCAAGTTCATGTGTTCTTTGGATAAAGAAGAGCATAGAAAAACATTTGATAAATGGATTCAAAGAATGCAATTGTGTGTAGATAATCAAGGCGACAACTTTGAACATTTAATGAAATAAAAATTTATTGAACTTGCTTGTGGATTTTCAATTTTCGGATATGCTAATATGAATAAACATTAAAGTCTCAGAAGAGACGAGAGAAAAGAATGCATATTAGAGACAATATGAACTTCTGTAACCGTTACACATGTTAGGCAAACTAGTCTTACTAGGACTTTTTCTTGTGATGCCAACTGAAGTACCGTCAAATAGCATAGGAAGAAAGAACATGTTCTTAGATACCCCTAAGTAATTGTTTCGGTCGCATTAGAAGTCGTATTAAATATTCGTTAAGTTGAGGCAAGCATGCCACACATCAATTTAGCGAATCAAAATGGGCGGCCTTCTTCACGACTCAGAAGAATCACGAGTTTTGAATAGAATTAGTTGTAATCAGATATCGTGAGATACGCGATGAGGTGATTGCAAGAACCGGAGATTCATTTATCAATCGCTAGTGGATTTCCGAA